ATACTACAAATTACAAAAAATGAAGAGTAGATTCAAGAGTAGAAAAGAAAGGAGGAAGAAAGGAGCGCACAGTTAGCAGGAAGAAGGAGGCGCCTGAAGTTGTAAAAATTAGGGTATAGGTTAAATAATTTTAAAATTTTTGGTATAGGTTAAATGAGGGCGACCAAATAGGACGCCCCGTGCAATTTTTACTTGGTTATTAACCAAAGGAAAAAGGTCCGTAATACTAACCTGTTTTTTGAAGAAAAAAAGAGACATTGTCGGGCTTTTGGGCCAGATGTGAAATGGATCACGCATTTTCCTAAGATTAACATCCCATAATGTTCTTGATGCCATACTTGGGCCTTTTGGCTGAGAAACCAAACACATAAGTGTCTTCCACTTGTCTTTTTGTTGCAAGAAATGGTTCAAACGCCATCTAGTAAACTGATTCCATCATTATTGTGTGTTCTCTTAACATAACTTAATAAAAAGAGAGAAAAATATTCTTCACTTACAATAAAAATAATAATTTTAAAATATTATAGAACGGTGAAACAAAATTTCCTCTCTATTTTACGAAAACTTTTCATTGGTGAACTAAGGTGACCATATGATACCAAGTCACCAACTAGGGCAGGGCATTTTCATAGGAAAATTCATTGGGCAGACAAAAATAGGAGCCTATCAATAAGAATTTTAGGTGTATAGCCGGCCTAATAGATGTTATACCAGTTGATTTTTTAAGTAAATGTACCAATAAGAAGAGTTGATTTGAGCAAAGATGTGACACTTTGGTCATGACAAGCAATAAATTTACATCTTTGTTTTTACTACTCTACTCTACTGCATTGGGAAAGTACTCCCTTCTTTTTTCCGAAGTTCAGTTGTCAAGGGCTTAATCGATTATCTTTTGGAATGCGGGCCTCCTTTTAGTAATCGTCAAGTCCATAATGTATCTTCTCTCCCAGAGTCCAATAAATCCACTAAAAGCAGGCTATTACTTGCTGTACATATCAGCTAGCTCCTACTCCTTTGTCTTGTCTCAATTTTTTTTTTTTTTAATTTGTACTAAAAATAGTACTCTCTCCGGTCCAATTTACGTGAACCTATTTGACTGGGCACGGAGTTTAAAAAAAAATGAAGACTTTTAAAATTTGTGGTCCTAAACAAATCAAAAAGGGGTCCAGAGTATTTGTGTGGTTATAAAAGCTTTTCATTAAGGGTAGAATTGTAAGTTTAAGCTAAATTGTTACCAAATTTAGAAAGGATTCATTCTTTTTGGAACGGACCAAAAAGGAAATAGGTTCACATAAATTGGAACAGAGGGAGTATTTTTTTTATAATTTAACTTTATAATTTTAATTTTATTTTTAATAAAATAATTTATAATTATCCAGGAGCGGCCCTTCCATAAAGCAAGTAAAGCAACTGCTTTAAGCCGCACATTTGTGAGATACCAATTTTTGTTAGAAAGAATTACAAAAAATACACATGACTTCACACCATAATAAAAAATGGCCCATGTTTTTAAGTTTTACCCGACCGAGCCCACATTGCACGTATTTTGAAAGCACTAACAAATTTAAAATTTGTGTTTTTACAACCATTGCTTTTAAAAGCTATGGAGTTAAATATGTGTTCTCACAACCATTGCTTTCAGTCTCTCTTCTTCTCACATCTTCTACATATGCTTCAAGGGGCCGTGTATTTTCTACTCCTCTTCTTGTGTCACCTACTTGCAATGTAAAAAAAATTGAAGAGTAAAAGTCCACCATTAAAGACAGTGGCGGATCTATGTATAGCATTGGAGGTGGTACGCCACCCGTACGCTCGGGTAAAATTTAATATATGTTTGGATAGTTTACACCACAAAGCCACTATATCTAAAAGGTGGCACCCAGAGACACAAATCTGCTCTAGGTGCCGAGGCTAAAGGATTATGCTTTCTCCTTTTTCCGTTTTCTTTCTTCTCTTTCTGCTCCTTTTCTTTATTTCTTTCAATTCTTCAATCGTTATCTTTGCATTCCCCGTCTCTCTCTAGACATTTTTATTGTTTATTGACTTATATATTTGCTTCCCTTTTTGTTTTTCTAGATCTTTATTTGAACATGATTTTAATCATTTTCTCTTTGTATCCTTCTAATATATTATTTTTTTCCTTAATTTTTAACTTTTTTTAGAATGATAGTATCAACCGAGATAATACTAATCTAGCTATATGTAGATTGAGGTGGTGTATTTGTTTAGTTTAAATTATTATTTTTATTTATGTTTTTAATCATATTATTCAAGAATTTGAACCGGAAAAATCAGATCACTTATTCAACTTGATGATCACCTATTTATTTATGCACCAAAAGTCTTGTACATTAAATTAAGTTAATTTAAATAGATTGAACTGACCCGAACCGAAATAATTCAAAACTAATCGAACCGACGAATGCACCCTGTCAATCTACTTTGCTATTGGTAATTAAGTTTGCATTAATATAGTGGCACCTGTAGTTATCAAACTCTAGATACGCCTCTGATTGAAGAACATTCAAAGCTTTGCTTTCGAGAATGGATTTTTTTGAATTTGTTAGTTGTTTGGATTGGGTATTGTTCCAATTGATTGAAAATATCAAAAAGGGTTCAAACTTTAAATTTGATGTGACATAGAGTAGATTTAAGCAAGATTTGAGTTAAATTTCAGAAAAACGCAAGGAAGAAGACGAAGTCAGTTTTTTGTATAATTATGTATAATCTTGTATAATAGTGTATATGAGTGTAGAAACACACATTATACACTTTTATACACCTTTATACAAGCGTCTGTAGACGAACTTCTTTCACGATTTTCAGTTGCAATTCTTGTTCAAAACCAGTCCAAATCTCCATTAAATAACTTTAAATTTTATATAACAACCTCCTTATACTATTCCTAACAAATCTAAATAAGACCCACTCCAAATTTCTCACAAAATTAAATTCGAAACTTAAACCCACATATTTAAGCTTGTTAAAAATCTAATTTTCACCATCCAAATGAATTTGGTTTGTTGAACTAATATTTGAGTCACAGTTACTGATTCTAAAATTAATTTAAAAGCTTGAGGAATCTTTTTTAAAAATTAAATAATAATTTTGAGAACCTATTAGAGTTGGATGTTGAATCTTAGCCTATTATTTTTGGGCTAGTTGGTTGTAAATTGAAATATGTGCTATAAAATTGAAAAGAAGGGAGCCCAGTTATTCTAATGTGAAATTTTCCCAATGTAGGTTATGTATAAGTTTAAAAAAGAGTTTTGTGAAGTGAAAAAAATTTGATTTCTTTCTTTAACAAGTATAGGAAAGAAGGATTTGCAACTGCTATTGAACCCGAATTTTCGTAAGAAACATATGATATATAGGAAGTAACAGTTTGATGAGAATGTTGATAATAAAATCTCAAAATCTTTCGAAGAATCCTTTGGAGTTGATTACTTTATACATAGTAGACAAAGACATTTCTTCACTTCAAAATAGATTTGAATTCGAAGCATATGAAAATATTTTTAGTTTTCTATTTAGCGATAAAAATTAGGATCACTAGATGATGGAAATTTAAAAAACTAGTGCCTTAATCTTGAATGTTCCTTAAAGCATAATAATCAATTCGATATTGATGGTTTAGATTTTATTTTGGAATTAAAAATATTAAGAAAAATAGTACAATTAGAAGATAACAGTTTAATTGATACACTCGGTCAAATAAATTCTTTTAGGGATGACTATTCTGCAGCGGTAATTGCAAACAGAAAGGGGTGATTGGTTTGAATAGCCCTATTGACCAGGAGAGTCAGTATTACCGCAGCTTTGACTCTGTTGCAGGTATGAAGTGAGTTCCATACCATGAAAAATATTTCAATGGGACCAGGAAGACAACCCACCACTGGAACTTACTTTGCTCTCGCTCCGCTCGTTCCCACCTGTCTTCTTCCCACTATAGTGAAAGATCTTTCACTTCACCATAGCAAAAATTGATTCTTATTCCAATGATTATATTACTTATGGAAAAATTTTAATAACTCTTGTTTCCATCGCTTCAGCAGAATTTTTTTTTATTAAAATTGATAAAATCTTACCTAAGATCAACAATGTCTCAATAAAGGTTAAATGTATTAGCTATATTGTCAATTAAGAAAGACTTATCAGGAGTTATTGATTATAAGAAAATTACTAATAACTTTGTATCTAAGAAACGCTAGAAAAATTAATTTCAAATAAATAAATAATTTTAAAAAATAAAATTAAAGTCCCTCATAAAGTTTGGCTTTAGGTCACGAAATTCGTTAGGCCGCCCCTGTAATCCCCAAATATTTAAACCTTAATTTATACACAAATTTCTTACACTTCGTGTCATATTAACGATGGAACATAATTGGGATGGAAATACTCTTTACACTCGTAATATTAGCCCTTCTCAAAAAAAAAAAAAAAAAAAAATTACTAGCCCTTCTCATCCTATATGTATTTCTTAGCATGTGCTTCTTTGCATCTTGAAAGTCCATTCAACTTGCATACTTTTTTTGGTCACAACTTACGAATTTTGTGTTTACATCAAATAAATTAGAATAATACATATCATCTAAGTTTTAACTACCAAAATTAAATTATTTAATTTGATATAACCATTCGGTAGATGTAAGTGTTTATCATTTTATTTTTCTCTTCAGCTTAGCGTCCAATCAAACATTCATGTAAAATGTATAGACTGAGTACTTATTGAGATTGTTACATTGAGCGAGGATGAAACTCGTACAGGAGCTTCAATGGCGATTCTAGAATATTCCAAAGGAAGAGAAAAATATTTGGGAGGAGAGCAGATGAAATGAAATTGTGAAAAATGACTCTCATCTCTTTTCCACTAGTACAATGTGTATATATATGTACACGTGTGAAAGTATTAACTTAGCTAACTAACAGTAACAAAATGCTTAACATTGAATCTAACTAAACATATCTCAATAACCCCCCTCAAGTTGGATGGGGGAATCTCACAGCCAACTTGCCGAGTATAGCATGGTGTTTGACTCCTGTGAGTGTTTTGGTAAGAATGTCAGCTGAAATTGGTCAGTAGTGGCTCCATGTTGAAGAGAGATCAACCGTTCCTGAAGTTTGTTCCTTACAAAATGGCAGTCGACCTCAATGCGTTTTGTCCGTTCATGGAAAACAGGATTGTGAGCAATGTGGATAGCAGATTGGCTGTCACAAAAGACAGTAATGGGACTGGACTGTGGGATAGTAAACTCTTCAAACAACCTGTTTAACCATACCAATTCTCCAACCAATTTCCTGAGGGACCTGTACTCAGCCTCAGCCGAGGACAAGGAAATGGTTTCTTGCTTCTTTGATTTCCAACTAATGGGACTATCTCCAACCAAAACAATGTAACCAGTGACAGATTTTCTAGAGTCAGGGCATGATGCCCAGTCAGAGTCACAGCAGGCAGAGATAGAGCAATCAGTGTTGTTGGAAAAAAATATGCCAAGTGTGGGATCTGTCTTGAGGTACCTGAGGAAATGGAAAGTTGTTGTCAAGTGTGTATCTCTAGGTGCTTGCATGAACTGGTTGAGAAGCTGTACACTGTAGGCTATGTCAAGTCTTGTGTTGGTGAGGAAGTTTAGCTTGCCCACTAATTTTCTGTAATATGTAGGATCTGGAAGAAGAGTGCCCTCATCAGCTTTCAACTTCACAGCAGGATCAAGGGGAGATGACAAGCTACTGTAAGCAAAACAATCATATTCCTTCAATAAGTCTAAGGTGAACTTCCTTTGAGATATGATGATACCATCTGATTTGTAAAGGACCTCTAGGCCCAAGAAGTAATGAAGTTTCCCCAGGTCCTTGATTCTGAATTGCTTATCAAGAAATGACTTCAAATTGGCTATCTCCACTGAATCAGTACCAGTGATGATAACATCATCAACATAGACAGCTACAAAGATAATGTGGGAAGAAGTCTTCTTGGAGAAGAGTGAATAATCATTCGCAGAGTGTTTGTACCCGATTGATGACAGGGCTTCAGTCAGTTTGGCATACCATTGCCTGCTGGCTTGTTTCAGCCCATACAAAGATTTGTTGAGTTTGCAAACCACCTTTTGTGGACCAGTCTGATCAATTAAGAGACCTGGTGGCACCTCCATGAAAACTTCTTCATATAGGTCACCATGGAGGAATGCATTATTTACATCAAGCTGAATATATCCCAGCCTTTCTTCACAGCAATAGTGACCAAAACTCTAACTGTTGTCATCTTGACAACAGGGGAAAAGGTCTCTATATAGTCAATCCCTGCTTGTTGAGTATACCTCTTTACCACTAATCTAGCCTTAAATCTCTCTATACTACCATCTGCTTTGTGCTTAATTTTATAGACCTATTTGCAGCCTATTGCCCGCTTTCCAGCTGGCAAGGGAACTAAGTCCCAAGTGTTATTTGCATAGAGAGCCTCAAACTCCTATGTCATGGCTGCTTGCCATGCAGTACTGAGTGCTGCCTCTCCATATAGAGATGGATCATTATCATGACAAACATTTGTCACTAAGTGCTGACTTTCAAAACATAAGGCATCAGGTGTAACATAACTGCGATTAGAGAAGAGTGCGCTCAAAGGAGATGGATCCTGAGGAGCATCGGGATGTGATGTGTTAGGCAGATTATAGATGTAATCCTTAAGGTAAGTAGGAGTTTTATGGTTTCTACTGGTTCTTCTTAGCAGAGGTGTTTCTGATTGGGCAGGTGTTGGTGAATGAGGACTGGTAATCTCATGTGAAGTTGCAAGGATAGGAAAAGGGTGAAATGACTGAATGTCTGATGTGTGCATTGTGGTATCATTAGCAGATGAAGATTCAGGGGATTGATGCATATCTGGAGATGTGATACTTGTGGGAGTTTGAACATTAGAATGTGGACTGCTATTCTCAGAGTGAATAGGAAAAGAGTCTGACTTGATGATATTATACAGGGAGACAGTCTTAGACCCTAAAGAGATAGGAAAGACACTTTCATAGAATACTACATCTCTAGAAACATGAACCTTCCTAGTGGCTAGGCTTAACACTTTGTAACCCTTTGTCCCAAAGGGATAGCCTACAAAAAAATGAGGAGTGGTTCTGGGCTCAAATTTGTCTCTGTGCACCTTAGGCACAGTAGAATAACAGAGACACCCAAAGCTCCTCAAGTGAGAGTAATTGGGCTTCTTCTATAAGAGCTCAAAAGGACACTTGTTGTTCAAGTAGGTAGTAGGCAGTCTGTTGATCAAATAAGTTGCTGTCAAAATACATTCTCTCCAATATTTAGTTGGTAATTTGGATTGAAATATGAGTGCCCTAGCAGTTTCAAGGAGATATTTGTTTCCTCTCTACTACCCCATTTTGTTGTGGAGTATAAGGGCCGATTTTCTGGTGAATAATGCCTTTAGTTTGATAGAAGGTGGTGGCTTCATGACTAGTAAACTCCAATCCATTATCAGATCTGATGGTTTTTACAGTGGTGTTAAATTGGTTCTCAATCATGTTTACAAAGGCTTTAAGGGTTTGTATGGCATTGCTCTTGTTGCTTAACGAATGAGTCCAAGTGGACCTACTAAAATCATCCACCACGGTAAGGAAGTACTTGTAGTTATTGTGTGTAGCAACATGGTAGGGGCCCCATATGTCAACATGTATTAATCGGAAAATTTGAGTAGAGGTGCTGGTTCTTTGTGGAAATGGAAGTCTAGCTTGTCTATCCTGGGGCAAATGGAACAAATGAAAGGTTATTTGGGTGAGAAATTCACAGGTATTGAGGATATTCCTCTTATTTTGACAAAGGGAACATGACCAAGCCTATTATGCCACGAGATATTTACATCATGTTTGTCTAGCACATTCAAAGAGTCACTCTTATTGTTGTGAATAGAAGTATTTACATTTGTTGAATAAGACTGTGAATGAGGAGGACTACTAAAAACTACACTATTTGTACTAGCAGAAACAGAACAGTTGCAACAAGAAATTGGCAGACTAGTATTTGAAACAGCACTTTTACCCTTTAGACACCTGGAACAGAGGTAGTATAATCCCTCTCTGCTACTACCAATCACCTGAGGCCTCTTCACTGAAGGGGCCTGCAACAGACATAGTGCATCAGTGAAAAATACAATACACTTGAGATGTGTTGCAAGAGAATTGATAGAAATCAAGTTGTACTTAAAGGATGGAACATAAAGGACTTTGCATAGAGTAATTTCAGAGTTAAGTATCACATCCCCAAATTCAAGCACTTTCACCTTGTATCCATTTGGTAGGCTTATCAACATAGGGTACGGTAATGCTGTTATGTTACTAAGTGCAGTTTTATTGAAGGTCATATGGTCAGAGGCTCCTGAGTCTATGATCCAAAAGTCAGTCTTAGATTCGTAACATTTGCAAGATGGTTTGTCAAAATCAATAGAAGAAGTGCATACCACAATACCTGCAAAGTTAACAGCACCATTGGTGATGGTGGCATTGCTAGGAGATGCTCCTCTTGTCTGAAAATGCTGTAGCAAGTTCATTATTTGCCCATATTGCTCTTTTATCAAGCTGACACTTTGATTCTCACCATACAGCATTGGATCATCTTCCTTTTCATGCAGCAGATCAGCTGGGACTCAATGTACATTTGCCACAGCTCCTTTCCCTTTATTGAATTTGTGACCTTGAGTTTGACCTGAGTTGTTTCCCTGATTGAATTGTTGAGTGTTATTGCAATTTGAGTTCTGATTGTTACAAGGATTGTTCTAGGGATATCCGTGTAGTATGTAACACTTGTCCTTTGTATGGCGCGGGCTTTGCAGTAGTCACAGAATGGTCGGCCCTTGTTGTTGGCAGTGTAATGTGTTTTGAAATTCCGAGCTCCAAAAGGATTTTGATGTTGTGAAGGTGCAGCATTCACATGAAGTGAAGTAGACTCTAGGCTCAGCTGATTGTTTGGTTTGAACTCCCTTTGCTTTTCCTTTTGTACTAACAGAGAGAAGGCCTGTGCCAATGATGGTAGAGGTTTCATCATTAAAATGCTTCCTCGCATTGTTGTGTAGACTTCGTTCAAGCCCATCAGAAACTGAATGAGTCGTCTGTCATATTCTGCCTTATGCATAGTATCCTTTGACCCACACGTACAAACACAGGTGCACTGGGATTTGGCACTGAGATTGCTCAATTCTTCCCATAGCCTTTTCATTCTCGTGTAATAGGCAGTGATGTCCAAAGATCCTTGAGCGAGATCATTGAGCTCCTTTTGAATTTGATACAGCTTCGCATCATTCGTTTGATCATATCGATCTTCCAATTCTCTCCATAATTCTACTGAATCATTGACATATTCAACACTGTCATAAATTTCTTTTGCAAGGGAATTAAAAATCCAGGAAGTCACCATGTCGTCACATCTCTCCCATTGACGAAATTGAGGAGAATTGGTAGGAGGCTTCCTACAATCCCCGTTCACGAACCATAATTTATTTTTGACTGACGGGGATCTCAGTACGCTCCTCCTCCATGACCTATAGCCAATTCCATCAAAAGGAACTGGTACTAGAGTCACTCCGGTACCATCCGAAGGGTGAATGTATAGAGGACTACTTACATCAATGGCTGGTTGATCGTTCCTGCTCGTATTGGGGGTGAGTTCTTCGCTTTGATCAATTGCCATGAGAGAAGCTTCAGATGATGAAATTGACTAATATCCTAAGCAGTATAGTGAATAGAATGCCCGATCTTGCAGAAAATTCCTTTACTTCACACAAAATTGCCGTTCGAAATCGCGAAATCAAAACCTAGTAGATGACGGAGAGAAAGAAGCCTTGATAAAAAAAACTCCGGCAGATCTCAGGAGAGCGTGTTACGCCAGTTCTGATACCATATTGAGATTGTTACATTGAGCAAGGATGAAGCGTGTACAGGAGCTTCAATAGCGATTCTAGAATATTCCAAAGGAAGAGAAAAATATCTGGGAGGAGAGCAGATGAAATGAAATTGTGAAAAATGACTCTCATCTCTTTTCCACTACTACAATGTGTATATATATGTACACGTGTGAAAGTAAAAATAAAAGAAGTAAAAGAAAGTTGCTGACTCAGCTAACTCAACTAGTACAATTAACTTAGCTAACGAACAGCAACAAAATGCTTAACATAGAATCTAACTAAACATATCTCAATAGTACTTCTATTGAAAATTTGAATACAAAATTTTGAAGAGTGATTTTTTTTTGGGACAATAAGAATGAAAATATTTCGATAGGTGTGTACGCAATTTTCTAGGACAAATTTAGGAGGTTATGTATGTATTTTTGCAATTTTCTTTTCTATTCAGCTTGTTGTTACCGATTCATACCTAGATAGCGGGAAAAAAGGTTGTTACAGATTGACTATCAGCAAAAAATTAGCTGTATTTTGATAAATTCTCATTATAGTAAATAAGTTGAGACATGTTCTTTTAAGAGAAATTTTTATAAAGCACTATCTTTTGGTAGTAATTAGCCATCTATAGATACTATTTGCTATATTACGGATTATAGATACCTTTTGTGTGGTTATAAGATGTATTTGATGTATTTAAGCTATTGTATTCATGAATACAGTAGCAAAAATAGGCGTGAATCAGGGAAGTCCAGCTAATCAGTTGTTGTATTCGAGTGTATTCGACTGTATTCATGGAGTGAAATATGGGATTAGATTATTGTATTCAACTGTATTCGACTGTATTCACGGCGTGAAATAGGGGATTACATTATTTTTAAAACGGAAAGTGAATCAATTAATATAATAGACTCCTAATATAACTCAACAAACTCATTATAACACACAAATTTTGTATTTTCAGTTATAAAAAAGATTCTCAACCGAAAAATACCCCAAAAACATAGCGATCTTCAGAGAAATTATATAATACATCTGAATACATAAATTATATTAATTAAAAAAAAACATATGAATACATTCATGGCATATAACGAGACAGTGATTATAATGAAATACATATAATACAGCGGGATATATTGAAATACAATAAAAAAAAAGATAGTGAATACAATAAAATACATGGGATACAACGAGATACACTGAATTACAATGAAAAAAAAGACAATGAATACAATGAAATACATGAAAATACATTGAAAT